ACTGACTTCTCTCTCCGTTTTTATGGATTGGAATAACTTTTGCTATTTTCATTTGTGAGGGAAATACACCAGTTTGAAAGGACAGATTACAAATGTATGCGAAAGGTTGCACTATATATTCTATAATACTTTTAACTAATATCATGTCAATACCAAAACAGTCAGTGGACTTTTTATTTGTTTATTTGGTGTTATCGGATGAAATTTCAGAGAATACTTAGCAAAAGTTGATAGAGACACAAAGGGTTAAAACTATAACGTTGGACACAGGATGCTGTTTAGTGGTGTTGGGAATCACAATGGGCCCCATTGGGCAGCACTTTAACAACACAAGATAATGGAAATTTAGATAGCCAAGTTACGCACTGAATTTTTTATTTTTACACCCCTTCAACACAGATTATGTCCCCCAACAGTCATTTTATATTGTAAGAGTTTCCTTTCTCTCTCTATCTTGCCAAGTAGACTGAGGGAACCATCTGTCACAATGCAAACACACACACACACACACACACACACACACACACGCACACACAGTAAACAAACTGGAACAACTGCTTCTGTATAACTTGTACACTGTCCTGATTTACTGGACACAGGCACAGTAAACAGTCTCCCTTCTGTAACTGTATGTTTGGAAGAGTTCATTCATTTTCAAGGGGACTTGTTATGCTCATTTCCAGCTCCATGTTTCTATTCTTGGGCTCTATCAGACCTTGCATAATCCTTGTTTATCTGGTACAGGAAATTAAGGCAGTCCCTCAGTCTATCCTCTGTCTAAAACAAGCTGTTTTAGCTCAATTTCTCCATCCTCTAAGCTGACTTTCTTCTGACCAGTCTACCTCATGAACAAAAGGTTTGCACAGAGCTGGTAGCCTTAGATGACATCACACAGAGCCAAGAGTAGAAAAAACTCCAAGCTTCTGTTTCACGAGGATCAGTTGTTCATACGCTGACGTGTTTATTAGCCATGTTTAATCTGAGTGTCCACAGCACTAACGGTACATATATGACAGACAATAAGGAGAGCCTTTATTTTAACTTGTTTATAATTTGGAAGAAACATGCTTACGTGCAGAGATGCAATTACAAAATTTTCTGTAGGAAGTAGAATTTAGCAACTAAAGAGGTATTTCCCTTGAGAGACCTTTGAGTCAAAACAGACACCTGATAATTAACCTACAGTGGATTTATTAAGTCATGGCTCCAGATAAATGGTGACGTTGCTCCATTTCTATTAGCTGAATTGATAAGCTGCTGTTTATTAAGTGACAACATTAGTGTTGCGTTTGTTACTTACATTATATCGCCAAAAGTATTCCCTCATCTGCCTTCACATGCGTATGAACTTGAATGACATCCGATTCTTAATCCATAAGGTTTGATTTGATGTTGTGCCTTTGCAACTCTAATAACATCAAACTTTTCCCGGTATGCCTTCCACAGGTTTAGGAGTGTTTATGGGAATTTTTGATTTTTCTTCCAGAAGTACATTTGTGATGTCGGACACAGTTGTTGGACGAGAAGGCCTGGCTCGCAGAGGTGTTCTGTCAGGCTGAGGTCAGGACTCTGTGCAGGCTAGTCAAGTTCTTCCACACTAAACTCGCTCATCCATGTCTTTCTGCACTGGTGCTCAGTCATGTTGGAACAGGAACTGGATATGAAATTGTACAAAATGTCTTGGATTGCTGAAGCTTTAAGAGTTCCTGTCGCTGGAACTAAGGGGCCGACCCCAACTCCTAAAAAACAACCCCACACCATAATCCCTCCTCCACCAAACTTTACACTTGGCACAATACACTCAGAGAAGTACTGTTCCCCATGGAACCAACAAACTCAGACTGACAGATGAAGAAATGTGATTTGTCACTCCAGAGGACACGTCTCCACTGCTCTAGAGTCCAGTGGCGGTGTGCTTTAAACCACTGCATCTGATGCAGCTGCTCGGCCATGGAAACCCATTTCATGAAGTTCTCTACACACTCTTCTTGAGCTGATCTGAAGGCCACATGAAGTTTGTAGGTCTCACGACACTATGCACCTCAGCATCCGCTGACCATGCTCTGTGATTTTACATGACCTACCACTTCATGGCTGAGTTGCCGTCATTCCCAATCGCTTCCACTTTGTTATAGCAACACTAACAGCTGACTATGGAGTATTTAGTAGTGTGGAAACTTTACAGCTGGACTTGTTGCACAGGCGGCGTCTTATCACAGCACCACGCTGGAATTCACTGAGCTCCTGAGACCCACCCATTCTTTCACAAATGTTTGTACAAGCACACTGCATGCCTAGCTTGATTTTACACACATGTGACCATGAAAGTGATTGTAACACCTAAATTTAATGATTTGGATGGATGAGTGAATACTTTTGGCAATATAGTATATGTCTGGTGCCTCCACGTTTATAATGGAAGCATAAGAGGCTAGTACTTATCTAAGTGTACAAATGTATTTGGTTAAAAATACATATTTTGTTTGTATTTATGAAGTGAAAAGAAGATAAAAACAGACCCTGCAAAACAAACGTTTCAGGCACACATTTACTTGTAAAGGCTTAGCGCGCCATTAGTGTTCAGGGCTTTAATTTACTTTCTGGCATTTGCAAAGCAGGTGAAGAATTATTAGGAGTTATCAGAGACTCTGACTCTTCAAATCCTGCAGTAACATCTGACAGTGCTTCTGAAGTAAAACTGACAGAGGAGCTAGAAATGACTACTACAAAGCAGCATAGAAACTTATTTGAAGGCAGGCACAGAAGTCATGTCAACACTTTGAAAAGCAAGAAATGGACGTCTGATGGACGAAAAGATAAACATGAGGGACTGACACAGGCCTCGTGGTGCACCTTTCCATTGGGGAGGGTTGATGCGCATGCAGGGTTAGCATAGGAGAGTCAGCAGAAGAAAAATTGTAACCTGTAAAGCACCTAAAGAAACACAAACAAGTCTGAGTCATTTCAGAGTTAAAACTGAGGTTTTCAGGTTATGGAGAAAAAAACAGGAGATGCAGCTTTTGGAACATCTTGTTCAAACAGGCGAGTAAATATTCTGCTTCGAGGTTATGCTGCACCAACACAAACAAGCCTTTTTGAGAGAAATATCACAAAATTCATCCGGCAGCCAATCAAGGAAGAAAAACCTAAGTGTAAAGAGGGTTATTTCTCCGAAAGGATAATGATCCAAAATGGAACAATGCACGACTTCATGAAACATCAGCTAAAGTGTTAAGAGTGGCCCTGGACTTCCATGGACCTGACCATCATTGAAAATCTCCGAGATGTTCTGGGAGCATCCACATCGAACCTAAAGTGATCTGCAACAGGAGTGGGTGAAAATCCCTGCACAGAGAGCCTCTGTTACCTGGCTGTAATATTTGGCACAGTCTATTATTTTGTCCTATTTCTTTTTAATTAAATAAAACAATTAAGCTAAAATAAGTGTTTGAATCTGTTGCTGCAGGGTTGTATGTACTTTTTTCATTAAACAACCAACAAGATATCTGCCCAGAGCTGCCCAAATATTTGCATACAAGTCTAAGAGTCAGTTCACAAATCATTTGCGAGAAGGAATCTGCACTGCCACTGAGTCTTCTTTAACTTCTCTGGAAGTTTAGGCAAGTAAGCCCATGCCATTTGTAAACAACAGGAGGATTATCTGTTATTAAGGTTGGCTCTGGAACCTGGAGAAGGCAAACAGTCAGCCTTCAGGCCAAGTCTTCTTGGCAGTATTTTCTACATGTGTACCTCACACCTTCCCCTCAGAGGTGTTCAGACATATCCTCTGGGTTTGCACAGTAAAACAAACACGGTAACTTGAGTTTGAATGTTGGAGTTTTTCAGCATTTCTGACAGGTGCGGCTCTTCTTGTGTGAGATACACGAAAGGCAGTTAAATCAGTAAAGAGCAGTGGACCTGGCCATCGTACCAAGTCAGGCAGGAGAGAGCTACAGTTCGGTCCTTAGCTTACCCGGTAGGTCATAAAATCAAAGCCTGGCTGAAGACCCTGGTTGTCTCAGTTAGGAGTGATTTGTGCACAGCCATGTAGGGCACTGCACACGAATTTAAAACATGCAACAAGGGGACACGGAACGAGAATATAATCACGATTAGGCCAGAGTGAATGTCAGAACAGGCCAAGCAATTACAGACAATGTCAGTCAGACTTCTTCCTTTTGTGGCAGCAGAGCACGAAGTGAGGGAAGACAAGACAGTCTGATTTGGTGCCAGCACCAGCTGTGCACAGACACACTGTCAGCACGACAAGGAGGGAAATGTACTCAGTGAAAGCATCACTTTACACTTCGCAGAGGGGTGTGTGTGCTTGCAGGTGTGTATTAAACACCGTTGTTGCTATGGTGCATTTAGAAAAAAACAACTTTTAGCCTGGAATTAGAATCACTTGTGCAAAAGAAATAGAAACAACTCTAGAAAAATGAGAGTGACTCTTTACATTTAATATGTCTTAACATGCGATTTAGTCATGAAAGTGTCTCAGTTTTTCTAACAGATTTGAGCATGAATAAAGTAAACACGTGTGAGACAAGTATGTGATGTACACTCGCTGGACACTTTATTTCAGCTTGCTAATACTGGGTTGGACCCTCTTTTGCCTGAATAATAATTATAATCGTTGATGAATGTAATTCTTGGGGGTATCAATTCAACAAGGTGCTGGAAATGATCCTCAGATATTTTGCTCCATGTCGACATGATAGCATCAGCTGCAGATTTGTTGGCTGTATAACCATGATGTTAATCTCCCCACCACATCACAGAGGTGCCCTGTGCTTCTTTGCAAAACCTCTCCAGCTCCAATCAGGCTTGATGGGTGTCAGAGAATTTCAGATCTCTTGACTAAAGTTCAGTTGAGTTCAAACCTAGGCTGTGGCTGAGCCACTCCTTTGTTATCTTGGCCGTGTGCTTAGGATCGTTGTCCTGCTGGAAGATAAATTTTCACCCCATCCAAGGTCCAGAGCTCTCTGAAGCAGGTTATCATTAAGAATGTTCATCTTTCCATCCACCCGGACTAGTTTCCCACTTCGTGCTGCTGAAAAACATCCCCACAGCATGATGCTGTGACCACATGCTTCACTGTAGGGAGAGTATTGTGCCTGGTTACCTCCAGACATGACGCTTAGCATTCAGGCCAAAGATTTTAATCTTTGTTTCATCAGACCAGAAAATGTTGTTTCTCATAGCCCAAGAGTCCTTCAGGTGTCTTTTGGCAACCTCCAGATGGGCTGTCATGTGCCTTTTACTGAAAAGGGGCTGTGCCACACAGACCTGATTGGTGGAGTGCTGCAGAAATGGTTCTCCTCTCTCCGCAGAGCAATGCTGGAACTCTGCCAGTGATCATCAGGTTCTTGATCCCCGGCTTTACTAAGGCCCTTCTGCCCTGATCACTGATAATGGCCAAGTTGCCAGCTCTAGGAAGAGTCTTGATAGTTCCAAACGTCTCTCATTTAGGCCTCCTCAATGCTGCAGAAATTTTTCTGTACTCTTCCCCACACCCATGCCTTGATACAATCTTGTTTATAGGCCTACAGACCATGCACACGCACTGTCAGCTATGGGACCTTATATAGGCAGGTGTGTGCCTTTCCAAATCATGTCCAATCAACTGACTTTACCTGTGAAAAGGCTGTGAATATTTATAAAAATGTACGTGTTATTTTTTTATTTTTCATTTGTAGTACATTTCCAAGAATCTTTCATTTTGTGTTTGTGTGTCAAAATTTGAGGTGAAAAATGAATTAAATCCATTTTGAAAAAGGCTGTAACACAACAAAATGTGGAACACATGAAGTGCTGTATGTTTTAAGAAGAAAAACAGTGACATTTACTTTCTTTTCAGCTTGAAAAACCATTTAGTAAAAAGTGGTCATCAGATGTGTCTGAATTGTAAGCTCTTGTAACAATGTCTCTGCGTCCTCACACAGGTGTGAGTTTCAGCTGCTAACTGTGCTTTTTTAGCTTTGTCTCTCTGCTTTTTGCAAGCTTCTGACTTTTACTATCTGACCACCTGCTGTCCTCCTCCTCCCCCCTCCTCTCGCTTGCAGGTGACTGACAGCTCCGAGGTTTACTGACAGCACTGAGCACACTCTTATCTTGCAGAGAGAAAGAGCGAGGCAGGGAGAAACTCTGTCATGCCCACTGCCCACACAGTCCCACTACTGCACCCTCAGCACACATCCAAACACGCCTCATATTTAATAAATACAAATCCTGCCTATTTGCTTTTTCACAGATGAGATGGAGCTCCTGCTGAAGCCAAAGTGCTCATCACATGTTTTGGAGCACCTCTGTCTCATCTACTCTCCCTCCTGTGTTTGTCCTTGCAGGTCCTTGATGCACCCTCTGCCATCTGCCATTATCTCGATGACAACAGCTGCTCTGCCCTCATCATCCTGGGCTTTGTGATGATGTCTCCGCTCGTGGTCGTGGCGGCGGCAGTTTTCTGCGGGCTGCTCCGAAAGTTTCGACTCCTGCTTTTCATTCAGCCAATCAAGCGCGCCTGGTACAGAGGGAGGCTGCTAGACTGGGCGGGCAGCATCCACGCCTGGGTTTGATCACAACAGAGAAGGTGGTGCTGAGGGTCACAGTGATTGGAAAGATTGATTTGTGCAAGACGAACCTGAGGGTTACAGATGTTTTGCAAAAATAGAAACATCATTATAGTCGATAAGACAGTCATACAGCTAATATTTACGTTGTCAATGGTTGTAAAAACGTTTGACATTTTTAGAAATATTCAAGTCCTCTTTCCTCCTGTTAATTTTGGTGAGAAGATCAATATCACCCTCATGTCTGTGTGGTGAAATTGAAGCTGCAAAGACCAGATAATTAACTTAGAATGGGATAAAGACTGAAAACTTAGATTCAGGGTGAAACCCAAAACACATACATTAATATAAACCATCTAAAAAGATATTCCAGAGCTTTAGAGGTGACAGTAGGAGGATTAAATTAGCCTTTCCAGCTAGATGTTGCTGGGATTTGTGCTTATCAAACAGTCATCTGCCTTCAGCCTCTTCTTTGAGAGTGCAGTCACCTCTCACTGATCTCTCAGACAGAATACAAAAGTGTAGCTTCTAAAATGTCAAACTGTTCTTTCAAGACCAAGACCTGTTTTATTGTGTCACATATTTCTTTTTATTAATTTGGCTACTCGCGGCCCATTTTGGGTAATTTTGTGAATTGTTTTTTTTTTTTTTTTTTTTGAAAATGACCCTATGAGGGTTTGTTGGGTTTGTGTGGCTTTTACACAGAAACAGACCGGTTTTCTTAGATATGTAGTGCCATCTTACAAGAATCTTAAAGCAAAACACATTATGGGCTCATTATTTAAGTAAACCAGATGCATATTAGAACAGACGAGAAAAAAAACATGCAAACTTCTTGGAGAGTGAAGGATACCTGCTACCTAACTATGATTTTGTACAAAAACTCATATTGTTGTGATTTTGTATTGCCTGTTTGCTAACTACATGGATGTGTTTAAATGTGAGACCTCAGAAATGTGAATGTATTTGTGGTTACACTTAAGAACTCTCTAAATAAGAAAAACAGTTTTTTCAAGCATGCGATTAAAACCCCGTCCACACTGGGAACAATTTGTTCGTTTCACTCCCGGCTTTGTCTCTGACAGTTGGTCACTAGCGGACATTCCAGGTTGCCTAGGTTACCCTCTAATGTACAGTGTTGTGCAAAAGTCTTGGCCCACCCTTCATTTCTTTATGTTTTGCTTCCAAAAAGGCAAACTTGATAGTAATTTTTAAAAAAGTTTTCTTGAACATCCGTTTTGTTGTTGTTGTTTTTTTTGTTTTTTTCCTCACTCATTTTCAGTTGAATCTATAAAAATGCCAAAGATATCAAAGTTTGAAGGCATAAAATTGAATTTTTTGCACCAACAAGGTAATACCCAAAGTGCTATTAGCTAAAGATCTGGCATATCTAGGAAATAGGAAAACTGCAGCAAAGACCTGACACAGGACCTGAGTGATGCATCTATCCCTTCAGTTGATCCATCTACTGTTCATTCAAGATAATTTATTCAAATCATCGGTATATAGAGAGGAGGTCAGGAGAGATGAACAACAGTGAGTGTCTGCAGCCATCTGCAAAACAGTGGAGGCTCTGTCATGGTTTGGGAAGGCATTTCAGCAAGTGGTGTTGGAACCATCAGAAAAGCATCAGATTTTTCAGTGATCCCAAACACACCTCTAATTCAGTAAAAGCAAACCTGGCTAGAAAAGCATGCAATGAAACACACTGAAGCAGTGTGGGATCATCTTCACAGAGAACAGAAGGTAGCCAACATCCAAAGAAGAGCATTGAATGGCCTTCAAGAAGCCTGCAGAACTTTTCCTGAAGACTACTTAAGGAAATTACAAGAAAACAAGAAAGTTCAGTTCAAATAGAATTGTACAAGCTCTATACACTGCATTTCTATGTTTGCTTGCACATGTTTCGATAAATTATTGCACCCATTTGCAATTTTCTTAGCAAAATAAAAAGAAACAATGGGTGGCTTGAGACTTTTCCAAAGTTCTGTAGCTGATATTGTTGTCATGTGTCAATCAACGGCATTCCTGCCTTCTCATTTGTAGAGAAAAGCCCCAATCGCTCACCTGCGACGGGGCTTTTAGGAGACCCTTAAAAACAAGGCGAATCTTGTGAAATGCATCATAACTAGAATTACTCTCTTGCGGTTTTTGCAGAATATGATGTTGTCATTATTTTGACAACATCTAATAGGATTTTTTCCTATTAGACATTTTTGTAAGTTATGGCCTAAAGTGTTTTTTGTGAAGTCACGAGGAACATAAAAGCTTTGATTGTGAGGATCATCCTTGAGTCGAAGTGAGTTTTTGTGCCAAAAATATGAAGCAGTTCCTTCATGATGTTCACATGGAATCATAAACGCCCACCCAGTGGCATAAAAAACTTTCACAAAGTTTTGTCTGTTAGGTGACTTAAATTGACAGTAAAGTTTATTCCCAAGGAGTTTTACCCAATGTAGCATCATCAGCAGTCATACCTTGTGAATGTGGGGGCGATATGAAACACATTTCATTTTAATGCTTCTTTTAGATCACATTGTGCCATAAAGAAACACCCTTCTTCGTGAACACAACTAAAGTCGACAGCATGACAAGGTAATTGCCTTTCAGTGGGATCAGACTGTTAAAGAGGGATTTGAATCATCACATCAGGAGCTCATTGTGTTGCCTCTTTGCTTTCCGGTCCTTTAAATTCACCAGTGACACGCTGCACACCCTTTTATCTGTGTCCTTGCTCTATAGCTAAGTGTTCAGACTTGTGGCTTTGCCTTTCAGAAGGAAGAAATAAATCATATTTAATGATGGGCAGAGATTATTCATCCTCTGCCACTTGTATCATGCTAAATTATATGTATTTTTTAGCTTATTTATTTGTGTGTTTTGTTTGTGTTTATTAATCTGAATGTGCTCTGTTAATCCAGGCAGATAAAGAATGGATCAAAGTTAAGACCAGTGTTTTGGAGAACCGTGTAGGAAAAAGGTTGAAATAGTTTTTTTTTAATGTCACAGGGTTGTATACCACATCTGAATTACTGGAATTACTGGGAAAATTGCAGCAGCTAATTGAGGTTTATTTATTTTTTTGTTCAAAGTGAACTTTGATGTTATCAACAAAACAGCATGTTCTGACCTTCCATCAATAAAAAAAAGAGGACATCTCTTTGTCGGCATGTCTCTTTTGTGTTGTGACCTGTTTTTGAAGGTTGGAAAGCTTTGGAGATAGGGTAGTAACATTTACTTCTCACTTTCTTTCAAGCACACAAGCAGAGCACACACTTGGATACACTGTCACACTCATTTCTGAGGAAAACAGTATGATAAAGTCTGCGATAAAACTGGGACACTGGCTGGTCACATCTGTGCAGATCAACAGAGCAAATGAGCTAATTAAAGGAAAATGTTGCCTCTGATTATGTTTTCGTCCAGTCTGTTCTCGTGATTTATGCTGCCCATTAATGCAGTTCAGCACTGTTCATATTGACAAATTAAAACTATCCTGTGGCCTGAAGTGCTGACATGCGTCTGCTTTCAGTAGGGTGAATGTTTGTCTTGCAATTTGCAAAAGCAATCTTCAGTATCTAAAGGATGTAATTTTGCTTGAATGAGTCAAAACAAAATAGTCTGGAATCTTAAAACGTGTTTAGCCATGCCGCATGGTTTTATTGCAGTGTCGTCTCACTGCTGGTTAACTCAGTAATACATTTTCACCAAAAACAATTAAAAAATGCCCTTGCAGGCAGACATTTGTAAAAACACGGGTCCTTTTGAAAAGCTCACTGAATTCAAGTATGGCACTGTAACGGGATGCCACCATTGCAACAAGTCAGTTCACAAACTCTCTTCCCTCCTAGATATTCTTTACTCAATCAGTAAGTGGCATTATTGCAAAGTGGAGGCATTCAGGAAGTGCAGCAACTTAGCCATTAAATAGCAGACCACATAAAGTGACAGGCCATGTTCTCCGAGTACTTAGATGAATAGTGCATAAAAGTTGACAACCCTGTGGTGCGTTTTAAGCCTCCTCTGGCATTAACATCAACATGAAAATTGTGCACTGGGAGCTTTATGGGTTGCCTCACATGGGTTTCCGTGGCTGAGCAGCTTCTAAATTTATTGAAGATCTGCTGTTTAATGACAATAAAAAGGATAATACTAAGGAGTAAACTTTGCAAGACAATGTGCACTAATATTACTGCAGAGCTCCTGAAGGTGTAATGTGTTGGTGACCCAGTAGTTTTCTCCAAATGCTGCAGGGGCTCATTTTCAGCCCACATTCACCTTTTATTTTTCCAGTGGCACATTGTATTACCTAATGCTAGCTCAAAGGATGAGCAATTACACACAAAAAAAATTCAATTATGTAGACTAAAGAAGTAAAGAAAAGAAGTATTACATCTGTAGAAACAGCCATGATTCAATAATAGTAAAAAAAAAAAAGAGTGAAGTGTTCCTAAATTAACATACTATACTAAAATTGGACATGAAAATTATTATTCAAACAAGTAAAAGCTGGTCCATATCACCACTGAGGGTAAATGTGTGCTATAGTAAAGTTTCAGAGATTTGTGACGCTTTCATGACAAACAGAAACAAAAAAAGTTGGTCAATAGAATTGGGAAAGAACTCTGTTTCAGTAAAATAGGCTCAAGGTCTAAAACATGTGAAAGGTTCTGAGTAGTCGCCCAGTGTGGCTAGGCAGTAAATTGAGCCGTAATCATCCAGTCCATAAATATAACTCTGAAGTGCAGGCTTTCAGCTTTAATTCAGTGGGATGAATAAAAAGATTACATACAAATGTGAGGAACTAAAGGATTTTAACAATCCCGTCATTTCAGTATTTGGACAAATTAAATAACTCAAAATAAAATATTCATTTCTTATACTTGGTTGAAAACCCATGGCTGGCAATGACAGCCTGAAATCTTGAACTCATGGACTTCACCAAATGCAGGGTTTTCTACTTTTTAATGCTCTGTCAGGCCTTTACTGCAATTGCTGTTTGTGGCCATTTCTCTTTGAAGTTTATCCTTCAACAAGAGATCAGGTGACTGACTCGGCCATTCAAGAATATTCCACTTCTTTGCTTTAATAAACTCCTGGGTTGTTTTGGCTGTATGTTTTTGGGTCATTGTCCATCTGTATTATGAAACACCGCCATATCAATTTGACTGCATGTAGCTGGATTTGAGCAGACAGTATGTCTCTGAACACCTCACAATTCATTCGCTGCTCCTGACCTGTGTCACATCTTCAATAAACACTAATGTCTCAGTTCCACTGGCAGCCATGCACGTCCAAGCCATCACACTGCCTCTGCCATGTTTTACAGATGGTGTGGTATGCTTTGGATCATGAGATGTTCCACGTCTTCTCCTATACTTTTTCCTGAACGTTTTTCCAGAACTGTGCTGGCTTTTTTTTTTTCTAGATTTTTTTTTTTTCAGTCTTCTCTTTATTGTACACTTGGATATTGATGTGCCTACCTCCTGGAGAGTGTTGTTCACTTGGCTGGCTGTTGTGAAGGGATTTCATTTCACCATGGAAATGACTGTCTTTTAAAAATCTGAAATTTTAAGCAACATTCAGACTTGGTCTGTGCTGACTCCACACATGCCCAGTTCTATGGATCCATCTTGTTGTCTTTAAAGTTTATCACCTTCACATATTTGCCAGATGGTCATGGTTAACTTTTTTCCCATTTGGATTAACTAGGTGGATCATGTGAGCTTTAGTGTTCCCCTTTCTCATGCTCCACTTCCTCAGTGGAGCATGCTACAGGGAAAATTGACATCTACCATAAATCAATCTGTTGCACAATTTTCTGCCATTTTCTGCTGTTAAGTGCTTGGCAATTAGAAAAGATGTCCAATATAGGGAGGAAATTGTGGGAGGATGGAGCGGAGATTGAGTTCTGAAAGCCAGAAGCCATGACAGAAAGGACTCTGGTTTACTGCTAATAATAAAACAAAACAAATACATAATAATCAAGCTATTATTATATATTTGAAATCCTGATATCTCCTCTAGACAATGCTTCATATCTGATTTTCATCATTGATCATTTTCCAAATGGCAATTTTGAAGGATTTGTTTTAATAATTTTGAAGGACATTTATTTTAATATTCAATGCTGAACTGAGGCTGTGAATATTTCCATGTGTTAAGAGGAGATAATGG